GGAGCCTCTTCCGCCCGGCGCCCTGCGTCCCCATCGCCGCCGCTCGCGGGCTCCGGCGTGAGCAGCCGCCACCCCTCCTGCCGCCGCGCATGCGCCCACGGACTGGGGCGGGGCCTCCGGCCCCGAGAATGGGACCAGCACCGCCCCCCCCTCTCGCCCCCGGGTAAGGGAGCTGTGGTGTCATCACGCCGGGGCAGCCCAGGGGCCCGGGGCTGGCACCGTGTTGCCCGCCCGGGGCAGCCTGGGGCGCCGCAGGGTCGAGGTGCGCCGAGAGGAAGCCGGAGCCCGCGGGGAGAAAGCCCCAGCTCCGGGTGGCGGAGCTCCTTTCAGCTGGAAAACCGCCCTCTTGTTTTCCTGCAGGCAAAGACAAAAGCGACAGCTCAAGACCCGGCGCTTTGCAACGGGCCTCCAGTCTACAAGGGTTGAGACCCGCTGGACTAGCCCGGTCAGCGTCGTCCTGTGCGCCCACCCCGCCCGAGACAGCCCGGATGGTTGTAGGCCCCAGGGCAGGGGCGACACAGGCTCCAGGCTTGAAGGTATCCAGTGATTTAAAGGGACACAATTCTGGACACCTGGCTCCCAATTTATCCAAGTACTTCACATTGTGCAGCCCTTTACACCATCCATAAGCACAGCTCCTGTTGGCTTAGGTTACAGGTGCAAATGCTTGGCATTTGTACACATTAGGCATCTTAAACTGAGCACCTAGAAAATAGACCATTAGACCAGATCCACAAGGGGAAATAGCCACATACGGCACATCCCCATGAGCAGATGCATGCATTTCCCCAGGGACAAACAGCAGCAGCACGTACTTCATAGATTGCGTAGACATTAGAGCTGGAAGGGACCTTGGAAGATCAGAGTCCAGCCCCCTGCCCCAGGGGCAGGAAGTCAGCTGGGGTCATAGGATCCCAGCAAGATAAACATCCAAATTTCTCTTGAAGGCATTCAAAGTGGGTGCTTGAACCACCTTCGGCAGCAGTCTATCCCAGACCTTGGGGGCTCAGACAGTAAAGAAGTTCTTCCTTATGTCCAGCCTGAAACGGTCATGGAGGAGTTTGTGACAGTTTGACCTTGTCATCCCTTGGGGTGCTCTGGTGAACAGACATTCCCCCAGATCCTGGTGAGCACCCCTGATAAACTTATAGGTGGCTTGTGCCACTCCTAGTGGTCTGCAGCGAACACCCCTGCACACACACCCTGACACACAGCAAGTTGCTCAGAGGAGGGGAGGGGAGGCTGAGGCCAGACCCAGGAGTAGCCCTAGCAGCCTTACCCAGGGTCCTGGGGGTCTCTTCAGGCTGCAGCAGTAGTGATCCAGGTGCGCAGGGCCTGACTGGCAGCTGGAGCATGGGTCTGGCAGCCAGGCTTTGGTTTCAGGTGGTACACACTGCTGCCACCTGCACCACACCGATATCCCCTCACCACCATTTTTTTTTTTTTTTTTTTTTTAAGATACCAGGAGTTCCCAGTATCCAATTTTTGCCACCATGTGGCAAATATACTATGCGGTGAACCTGTTTGTATGCACCATGCGCATACTGTGGTGCCTTAAAAGCCTTTCAGGTGCCACAAAGCACACGTTCCCACTTGTGCGGCCATACTGGGGCATTTGGATACTTTGAGCGCATCCCCATATGCAGGGGCCTGCAGTTGCTGTGGCAACAATAGTGGCACAAATTTGTGCTGCTGTTTTTTGCTACTGTGCATGCCCCTGCACATGAGGTTGGTGTGGGGCAAATTGTCCCAGGTGGGGTAAGGGATGGGTGGCTGGCCCCAACAGCCTTACCTGGGGCCCTCCCAAGACAGCAGCAGCCATCTGGCCACTCGGAGCCTGGCCAGAAGCCAGAGTGTGGTTCTGGCCAGCCAGGGCTCTGGTTTCTGCTGGTGCATGCTGCCAACATGTGCGCCATACCACTTTTCAATAGCAGCTTTTTTTTGACACCAGGATTTTCCTCAAATGGGTTTGAGGTCCTGCAAATTACACATGCACGCTTGTAGGGGATGTGTCCCAAGCCCAAAAGCTAGATTCTCAAAACTCCACCTAATCCTTGAAGTACCCACATTCCTTAACTGCCTAACTTTTTTGCCAGCAAAGCCCCCTAAGGACCTACATTTTTGGTACTGGTCATGCACAGAACCACCCAAGGACCCCAATCTGCACTGCGTTTAATCCAAACCCAAGAAGGATTCATTAACTGCTCCTCCTTCACTCAGTTCCCCAAGTCCCAGAGCATCCACCTCCTGCAGAGACCAAATGAATATTCATGTTTTTATTTAACAGGATCAATTCTAGCAAACTCCCAATAATTTGCTTCAGGTATGGAATACAAAAATTAAATAATCTGAAATATTGGTCTAATCATAAAGGTTAACAGGCAATCAACACTGGAAGGGAGCAAGTGTTCCCAAGTTTCCCAGGGCACTCTACAAATAAAGCTTAAATTCTGACCCGTAAAAACCCTTCTTGTATTCAAGCTATGGCCCTCTCTTCAGCACAGACTGCCAAATGCATTAAAATGTGCATTTTTTATGATGCGTACATATAGCCCCCAGAGACTAAGATAAGACTAGCAAATTTAAAATTTCTACTGAGCTACTGTATTTCATATATATAAATTTCTAATTAAATTTTCCAGAAGTAAAAAGCCAGTATATTAAATTTGCTCTGTGCCCTCACTACATAGTAAATTAGTTTCATGCACAGACATCAACCAACTTCAGCCATGAGAGTCAGGTAGGACTCATGTTCCTGTCCTACAGACCTCTTCCGAGTAAAGTCTATTCAACTTTGCCAAATTGTTTGGTGGCATTCTGACAAACAGACAACCATTGCCTTCCAACTGGCTTAAGACAAAACTTGTCATTTGTGATCTTGAATTTTTCTCTTCCCCTCTCCCTGTACCGCCATCCTCCAAGTTTAAACCTTTTATAGAGAGAAGTGCAAAAACTAAGGAAAAAAAAAAGAAAGACATTTAAAACCCAAGGGCAACAGTGAATTACAGATTACACATGTGCTAAAATCAGAAAGTGCCACAACACACTACCCACAGGTTTATTCATATAATCTTTATGTTGAGCCAGACCCGGCAGTCTGCGCACACCCATGAATCCCAGATCAACCTCAGATTGAGGGCACAAAGATTATGGGACCAGCTGCGTGTGGAAGCATGCAACAACTCCACTGTCCAGAGACATAATGTGCAGTTTGATATTTTATCACCTCTTGAGAGGGTTGTTTTGCTACACGTAGGAAAGGCAAGTAAGTGCATATCCTTGAATGCACCCTGAATACAGGAGCTATAGGTAACTCCTCCATTCCCATCTGCCCCCCACCACCACACACTGCCATAACAGCAGGTGAGAAAGCCTTTAAACAGTTTTAAGTAGTTACCATTCTGCAGAAGCCATTTCATCTTAGTTTGTTTCTTTTTATATGTAACATTGGAGTGATTATTTTTAACCTGTGTCTGACTTTGTCTATGGTCACAACAGAGATCCTATTTCATTTGTCACATCTCCCCCTCAAGCATCTCTTTTCTAAACTGATTAAATCTAGCCTAGTGGTGCCCTACCTTTTCGCCCATATTTTTGTTCCATCATTGGTTTAGGTACAATTTACATCAGTTGAGTAGCACTGTAGCACTGATGCCTACACAGTCAGATGGGTCACAAACTGGCTGAGTGCAACTGGTGCACTATGCCCTGCTGGCTAAAATGCTTACATAAACCTAGCCTTAAAGGTCAAATTCAGGCTTGAGAATGGAAATAAGCATGTGTCTGAAAAGTTTCTGGGAAGGCTTTTGTGGTAGAAACCATTGTGTGAGGGCAGCCAGAATGCAAGTTGCTTTCTGTACACTTTCAACAGTGCAACAAATCCCTATTTTTCTACTTGCATTCCAGACAGTTAAAGGAATTTTATTTTTAATAGAAAGGAGCTAAGCAAAATGGAAGCATTTAAGATTTATACACACAGAATCTGCCCAAGTAAACATTAGATAATGAGTCAGATATCCATCTTATAGCACAGCCAAAGCTGAAAAAGTGGGCAGTTTCCCAAGTAAACATTAAATACAGAAATATTTGCCATGTCTTATGATGTCTAGAATTTTTTTTCTAAAAACAAGCAACGTGAACCAAAGGCTCATTTTGTTTTACTTAAAACTACACAACAGCTAACAATGATACCCAGCCAGAACTAAAGTATCCCATGCCAGTTTCAAAGTGCTCTATTTTAAGAGCATAATGTGCAACTCACTCTAACATCCTGTGTGCAAGTAGACTGTTTCATATGTAGAACACCCTGGCAATGTTATATTTCCGCTGCCCTACTGTTAAAGAAACAGATCTTGTAAAATCTTACTTTTGCTTAATCAAAACAAGCAATCAGCTGCAAAAGCTGCTGCTAGATTCAATAGGCTGTTTTGCATAGTAAGACTGATGTCCTTTGTGTCTGCTGCAAAAGCATGTAATTGCATTCCTATCAATTTCCATATCATGAAGATTAGTTCAGTGGTCAAGTAGCTTGGTTAAAGACAGAGGATGCATGTGTTCAGCTTTCTGCTCTACCACAGATATCTTGTGCAACTTCATGTCACTTACGCCCAGTTCCTTCAAGGTTGGTAGACGCTTAATTCCCTTTTGGTTTCAGTGACACCTACCCACCCTTCAGGAAGCTATGACTTTGCTTCTCTTTTATATCAGATTGCATTTCATGGCCTCGGAGTGTGTAAAGATGATAAATTGGTTAGTGTTTGTCAGGTGTTGCCATCATAGGTATGGAGTTCAGATATAAAATACCAGATAGCCTATGGTATATTTCCTTTTTACTAATAACAGCGGTTGGGATACGAGGAAAAACCCAGTTTTACCACCATATGAATGGCTTTCTTCCTTCTCCACTAACCAGTTCCTCCAGATGCTCCTACTGTGTTTGTGGGGGAGGGGAAGGAGAAAGTCATGCTTAGGCTCAGGGGTGATAAAGGCCTTGAGACTTATCCCAAAGACAACCATTGGTAGACAGCCTGCACCTGGATGCTGGGGTTTGCAGACAGCTCTATTGGTACATAGTGTAAAAGTATGGTACACTATTTGCACATAGTACAAGACATGTTCAAATCAGCAGGTCCAGATGCTCTCCACCCCAGGGTGCTGAGGGAATTGGCAGGGGTTATCTAGGGGCCCCAGCAAGGCTTTATGAGCACTCATGGTGCTCTGGCCAGGTGCCAGACTACTGGAAGAGGGCCAATGTTGTCCCCATTTTCAAAAAAGGGAGGAGGGAGGACCCAGGCAACTATAGGCCCGTTAGTCTTTCTTTGATCCTGGGGAAGCTGTTTGAGAAAATTATCCAGGAGCACATCTGGGAAGGACCAGCAGGGGAGATGATGCTCAGGGACAACCAACATGGGTTCATTAGGGGCAGGTCCTGTCAGACCAACCTGATTGCCTTCTACGATCAAGTCACAAAATCACTGGACGCACGTGTCGTGGTGGATGTAGTCTTTCTGGACTTTAGGAAGGCCTTTGACACCGTCTCCCACCCCATTCTCATTAAAAAGCTAGGCAACTGCAGCACTGATGCCTACACAGTCAGACGGGTCGCAAATTGGCTGAGGGGCCTCACCCAGAGAGTGGTGGTGGATGGGTCATATTCAACCTGGAGGGATGTGAGCAGTGGGGTCCCCCAGGGCTCGGTCCTCGGGACCGCACTGTTTAATTTCTTTATTAGCGACTTGGACGAGGGGGTGAAAAGCACCCTGTTCAAATTCGCTGACGACACCAAGATCTGGGTCGAGGTGGGCACACTAGAAGGGAGGGACAGGATACAGCTGGACCTGGACAGGTTACAGGGGTGAGCAAATGAGAACAGGATGGGATTCAATACTGACAAGTGCAGGGTGCTGCACTTGGGCAGTAAGAACCAGCAGCATACCTATAGGGTGGGGAACTCCTTTCTCGAAAGCACCATGGCAGAAAGAGATCTTGGAGTCATTATTGATCCCAAAATGAACATGGGCCGCCAATGTGAGGATGCGGTCAGTAACGCCAACCGCACCTTGTCATGCATCCACAGATGCATCACAAGCAGGGCCAAGGAGGTGATCCTCCCCCTCTATGCGACACTGGTCAGGCCACAGCTGGAGTACTACATCTAGTTTTGGGTGCTGCACTTCAGGAGGGAAGTGGCCAGCATAGAGAGGGTCCAGAGGAGGGCCACTCACATGATCTGAGGACAGCAGGGCAGGCCCTATGAGGGGAGGCTATGGGACCTGAACCTGTTCAGCCTTCACAAGAGAGGGCTGAGAAGGGACCTGGTGGCCATTTACAAACTTACCAGGGGGACCAGCGGGGAATGGGAGAGACCCTGTTCCCCCGAGCACCTCCTGGAGTAACAAGGAATAACAGCCATAAGTTGTCTGAGAGTAGGTTCAGGCTGGACATTAGAAGAAACTATTTCACAGTCAGGGCGGCTAGGATCTGGAACCAACTTCCAAGGGAAGTGGTGCTGGGTCCTTCCTTGGGGGTCTTTAACAGGAGGCTTGACAATTACCTAGCTGGGGTCATATGAGCCCAGTATTCTCTCCTGCCTAGGGCAGGGGTTTGGACGTCAGTCTTGATGATCTACTTAAGTCCCTTCTGACCCTACATCTATGAATCTATGAAACCTGCTAGTGAACTTGAATAAGTTCAAACACAGGCTTTTCCAGTCTACTCTAGGGGTAGGTCACAACAACAACAGGTCATATAAGACCGTTATTAGGGTAAAGTGGTCAAGTCACCAGCAAATAGAGTTCCAGTCTCCTTTATTTTTGTATAGATGCTCAGAGGACAAGCTATAAGAATGGTTTCTAGGTTGACAAATGGAAAATGAAGTTGTGGTTGGGGTAAGGGTACTGACATTATGCCAGTGGAGCCTTAGGGGACTAGATGAAATTTCAGGAAGTGAGGACTATTTTTTTACCTTTGTTTTTAAAACATAAACAATTGCTTTCATTTACAGGTATGTAGAATTGCTCATGCTGAAAAATCCTTGCTGCTTGTCACTGTGTTAATGTTGCTGAGACCTGCCAGCTTTCAAGTGTGCTCTAATCCTAAATTTTCAGTAATCTTGGGGACCCTATTGGTGACATTTCTATTCCAATCCCAGGGTCTAAAGAAAGACCCTTTTCAATGTTCCTATTTCATCCAGATACACTTCTCTAAAGATCCAAGGGAATTTGTAGGGAGGCATTTCTTCAGCAAAACCATGGGACTTCTGGAACTCACTCCATCTCCATTCGCTCCAACAGGCTTTTGGGGTGCTTGCGCACCTGACTGTCATCACGATGTACACATGACAAAGATGTTATTTGTATGGCTTAATGACATCACACATTACACATGTGCCAGTTTTGGGGGTTTGAGCCTGTCACAACCCAAGGGTGTGATTTTGTGTGCGCGCGCTTCGGCACTGCTAAATTATTTCCCGCCACCAGGAGCTTTCTTTGCAGGGTGCATTTCTTAGTTGCAAAGAGAAATGCACGGTGCAAAGGAGTTCCCGCCACCCGCATGCAAATTTGTTCCCCACTATTGGCTGTTTCTAAATTATTCCCACGTGGCGGCTAGCGATTGGCTTGCTAGCCGTATAAGAGGCTTGAGCAGTTTCCGCCCAAGTTGGAGAACTCCAAGGAGAACCCCGCAAGGGAGGACTCCACAACCATCTGGAGGAGGAGAACTTCACGTCTTGTGAAGAACCCTAAGCGCTGCGGAGCCTATCGAACCCAGCGCGTACTTTAAGAAGGCTATAGGGGTCTGATCAACCTCTGGCCTCTCCCCGTCGCCGAACGATCCCTCGACGAACCCCTTCCCTGCGCGCAAGTTCCACAGAGCCTAGCAAACTTCGTGTGCATGTATCCAGAGCTCTTTTCTCCGAGTTGTTTTCTTTGGTTGACACGACGGGCTCGCGTGTTTAGAGCCTTCAACCGGACTGAGCTAGAGGTTCGCGTGGAAGGAACTCTTGTCCGCTTTTCTTGTTTCCTGTCTCTAACTGCAACTCAAGCAAGTTTTCCTGCCTGCAACGCGACCATCTTCGGTGTAAGTAAAATAATCTTTAATCAACCGCTACACGTCCGTGCCTAATTCTAGTCCGCCGGCCTGCATTCCCCGACCCGCGTGCCAGGGCTGCTGGCCACAGCCCGCCGCGCACCCCCGAGGGCCTCGGACCGCTCCCGGCCCGCACAGAGCCGAGTATACATTGTTGCAAATTAACCTACTTTGATGTAGTTTAGTTTGCAACGATGCATTGCAGCTGTCAGCTTGCTCCTCAACTGTGGGAGAGGTGGGCAGGCTCCTCAGGGAAAAAAAGGATCAGACTCCTCACCACTTCTGCTTTCAGTAGGTGCCTGCTGAAGGCAGAAGTGGTGAGGAGCCCAAACCCATTTTTATCCCCCCCAGCCTGCCCGCCTCTCCCACAGCCAGGGGGTGAACTGCTGGTGGGCCCTGGTCCTTCCCTCCATGGCAACAGCACCCCCTGGGACCACCCAGATAGGATGCTAGCAGGCCAGATGCTGCCCCAGCTCAGAGGCAGCACCTGGCCTGATCCAACTCTTCCTCAAGCCCACACACTGGAAGCCCACCAGGCAATGCTCCCCTGGTGGACTCAGAGAACAGTTGGATCAGGCCAGGGCCTGCCTCCAAGCTAGGGCAGTACCCAGCCCACTAGCAGCCCACCTGTGTGGCCCCAAGGGGGTACCACCACTGCGAAGGGAAGGACTACCCTCCCCTGCAGTTCAGGGGACGCTCTGCCTGCTGGCAGCTCACCCCCTGGCTGAAGACAGGCTCTTGCTCAAACAAAAAAAGGATCGGGCCTCTCATACTAACATGACAGAAAAATTGAGACCGTGGGTTTTAATTAAAAACCCACCGTTTCAATTTAAAGGGGCATAGAATAAAACCCTGAGGACCCAACCCCTGTCATATGTATAAGCACCCATGATACCCAAGCCAGTAGGAAAAAAAAAATCCTTGGGGAAGTGCAGGGAATCTCATGTATCGTGACTTCAAAATTATTAGCAAAACTGAAAAGGATGGGAATTAGTATAACAATTGGTAATTGATAGGTAAGAGAATGATAAGGCCAAACAAAGATAGGGGTGCTAGGGAAAGTGAAGGGCTAGAGATGAGTTAGTAATAGAGTTCCTCCAGGATCAGAGTTTGGACTGATATTTTTATTAAAGATCTTGGTACAAAAAGTAGGACCATTCTAATGGAAGTGGCTGGTGAAACAAAGTTGTAAGCCATTATGAATACAGAAGTGCCTTGAATGTCATAAATAAGGAACTAGATGATTTCAGGAGCTGGAATAGGAATGACATGAAATTCAGTACTATAAAGTACAGGGTTGTGAACTTGGGAATTAGCAAGTACTTTTGCTACTATAGTATTGGGGAGCTCAGCAATTGGAGGCGACAGAGGAGGGAAGTTACTTTGATATACTAATCAGCTGCAGGATAACTGATGCACTAGTGCAGAGTGGATGTGAATAAGACAACTAATCCTAGGATTTCTCAGGAGAAATACTTCCAGCAGAGAGAGGGAATGAATTGTACGGTACAAAGCTGATACAACTTTATCTGGACTACAGAGTACAACAATTCTGGTCACCCGCCTTCAAGAAAGAGGATGTAAACTGGAAAAATACAGAGAAGGGCTACTAGGATGAATAGAGAAAGATTGTATATTACAAAGTGATATTTAAAAAGACACTGACTCGTTTAACCTGGCAAGGGGCAAAAAGAGATGCTATTGTTTTCTATAAATACACAAGTAGCTTAACTACTAGGAAAAGAGTAAAGTACAGGATAAAGCTGGTACCGGAAAAGCTGGTTAAAAACTAGTCATGAACAAAGGTTAGTTTGGAAGTTAGAAGGTTCTGAGCATCAAAGCAGCAGTTTGGAAGTCTTTAAGACTGAGCTTGATGATCAGTTTATGAAAAGGCGTATGTAATATGATGCCTGTGGCAGTAGGAGATCTGACTCAATGACCCAGGATTTCTATTTTAGTCCCATGTTCCTATGATTCTCTTACATAAAAAGGAAATCAGGAGATTTATGGAGGACCACAAGGATAAAACCAGGAGCCAAATCTGGCCTGGATCTCTAAAGAATATAAAGTCTCCCAACTTTGTGCCTAGTGCCAGATGGATATTTACTGTGTCTCACTGCTTGCACTGGCTCATGTTACAGTGGCATCATAGTGGTCTTTGTGGTTCCTGCATATACCCAGCTCAGAGGAGTGATGTTCTAATTAAGTGATGTTCTAATTAAGGCACCAGCCAGACTGCAGCTAGACCAGCAGCTGCAGTTGCACAGGCTCTCTATCACCAGACTGAAGATGAAGTTCACCTGCTTATTACTAAAAAAACGTATGTTGTGCTCACTGCTTCTATGCACAGCATTCAGGGCCTTTAAATGGAACTGATTCAATAGTATGAATTCCCTCTGGATCTAATCAAGTTAATAATTATGCAAAGACCCAGAGTGTTTGAAACTAGAGGCAGAATTAACTCAGCAGTTTAGAAAGCACGCAGTCAAGTTTATCCTCTGCTGAACAACATCCAGAAGCCACCAACTGCAGCATTCAGTACACAAAGGAGTTCTGTTGTGCTCTGCTCTGCTGTCTGCGATATGTATTCCTGCAGTTTTTCTCCTCAACTTGCCACAGAACTGCAGGGATACAGAAATCTGGCTCTATTTCTGTGTCCAGCTCTTTCCTGTAAATAAACTCAATTCCAATGAGAAAAGTTTCAGGCTGTTGTTAAAATAAGACCTTGTTAAAATACCTCTCTTCCAACCAGCCTATTATTCCTAGCCAGGGATGCCACATAAGAATTTTTTTAACATCTTCAAAACCTCTATTTATGATTGCAAAAAGCTCAGATACTACAATGTAAAAGACCATAGCAGCCTCTAGACATCATATACCCCCTCCCTTTACATACACATGTACACATTTTTAACGATAGGCATAGAGTGGCGAAGAAGACAATGAAGTTAAGTTGCATATCTAAAACAAATTGCAACTACTTTTGTGCATTTTAAAATGAACATAACCAGGGTTTGAATTGCAGAAGAGCTCATAGAGATAAGACAAGAGCCCCCCCCCGCGTGCGTAAGAATTAAAAATCATAACTGGGGGGAGGGGGGCTCTTTGATTTTATTAGGGCATCATGATTCAGAGCCCAATTTTTTTGAAGGCCCCCCCACAAGAGTCAAAGTATAATTTGAACCCTGAACAGAACCAGATGGGGTGCAGGAGTGTGCTTACTTCCTGCCCTCTTCCAACTGTACTGTACAGGAAGCCCAGCTCAGCCAAGGGCAGCTCTGGCAGTAGGCAGGTTTCCCCTCTTTGCCTAGTCCCTCCCAGGTGTTCCTTACACCCCCAGGAGCAGGCGCAGAGAGGGAACCTACCTACTGCTACTGTCCCCACTGCTGCCACCCCTGGCTGAATTCACTTACTTGTTTTGGGGATTTAAAAGCCCCCGGCTGCTGCTCCTGTGATACGATCTGCCCATTCCAGTTGCAGTACAGCCTCCCCTCTAGCACCAGTCACTGCTCCTGCACCTCCCTTTACAAAATCCTGGATCTACCCATGAGCATAACAGATGCACTATAGCAAGACCCTCAGCTGGCCTAAGTCCGGATAGCTCCAGTGAAATAAATTGATGAACAACAACTACATACTAGTTAGAAATCTGGCCCCATGTCACTTTTCTGATAAACTGTCAAATTGTTCTGCATTGGAAGCATGGTAGTTTCCTCATGAATGCAACAGATGCAACAACACTATATGACTTCCTGCTTTCAAATACTTCATGTTGTTTCTTATTTTTCTTCTGCAGATCAGAGTGTTTTATTCTGTGTGGCCTCATTATGGCCAAGCATCCTATAATTTAACTGAGCCAGTTTCTAGTGGACTGTCCACAGTTTCTTTTACTGCAGTCCAAAAACTACTCTACAGTTCAATATGGTCTAGTGATGCTGCTTGTATTTGTAGTAAGCAAAGTGTTTTCACTAACGAAACTGTGCAGTTTTGTTATAAATAAAACTTCTGTGAAGAATGAATGTCAGAGTTGGTGCAAGTGATTTATTCTAAGGACACTGGCAGCTTATATGGTGTGCCAATGACTTCTGTCTTTATTACCTCATCAACTGTTCATAACTGCCACATATTAACCATTCAGACTCACATTTTCCATATTTGGTCTCTAACATGGGCTAGTTTAAGATTCAGCAAGAAATATTTCAACTCTTTCACCAAACCATGAAAATACAGGTAATTTTGCTAATATTACCCAGTTTCTCCAGCTATCTTTTTGGAACTTTTGCCTCTGATTTGGAGCATTAGGGTCTGGTTCTGGAAGTGGAAAGTGCCCCTGAGAAAATTCTTGGCCAAGTTACAAGCCACAGAAAAGGAAGAGTTTCACCACATGCTGTAGAAATGACT